TAAGTTTTTATTAAAAAAATTAAACTTTTTAATAAAAACACAGGCAAATTTGCCTGTGTTACAATTTAAGAGATAGTATTAAATACTATAGATACATTTTAGTAAACTTATTTTTTTACAAAGTTTTATTAATAAAAAATATAAAAGTTGGTTTAAATAATTTTATTCTACTATTTTTAATTAATAATCTACAAGTTAGCCAGAGAGTGATTATAGTAAAATATAATACAGATCACTTATAGAAATTTAGATTTTGCAAATATAACATATATATATCTAAAACCTTTTTTATACTAAGTTAATTACTTTTCTTGTTTAAGATGTATTTAATAGTAGTTAAAGTGTTAAAATTAGCTTGTAAATACCAAGATATCTTTAAAAATATTTTTTTAACTATATAAACTTTTTTAAAACAATACTATTAATATTTTTTTTTGATATTAAGATGATTTTATTGGCCTGAAAAACTTTTTATTAAAGTATAAACAATATTTTATATTGTAATTACAATGATGATATATTAAGCTATATATGCACTTTTGGTATCTAATTTAAGCAGTCTACTTGAAGCATTAGTACTATGCTAAAGATTTTAAACTATTTGCTATATTTGCACCCCAACTATATAAGTTGTCTATTTAAACTATCTAGTTTTAACTATTATTGTCAGCTCTCTAATCCAAAAAGCTTTTTCATTAAACTAAGTAAATATTGGTATTACTCTGTTTTGGTTTTTGTATTTTATATATGTATTTACCTACATGTTCTTATAACTTTTTTCTAATTAGTACATATTAACCTGCTGTTTCATATTTATATTTCATGCTACTATTTTATAGATGTTTCTCAAACATCAACTTTTTTAATTAGGTATTTATTATATATTTTTCTTGTTTTATTTAGTTCACAACAACTTCAGTACCTATATTTGGACTATCTTCTTACTCAGATTCTTTATTAGTCTCTCTCTATTTCTAATTGGTAACTCAAAAGGATTAGTTTGCCCAGGCTTTAGATGTTTCATAATCACCCTCCTTTTGGTTCATACTTTTAGAGCATATATTCTTTTCTTCTAATATATTAGCTCAGTGGTTTAGCAGATATGTCTCCCACTTAAAAACCTAATTGCTTGGTTTTTTTGATTTTAGACCTTGGTTCAAATTTAGCCCTTCTGTGATATTGTTAAAGATCTTTTTATATCCAAATTTGGGACTTTCCAAATAGGTTTTTGGTTATTCTAGTTTCTCAGATTTATTATACCAAAGCTCTTATTACTAAATAGTGTAACTAAAGTTACAGATTTAGTTCTAGATCTGACCAATAATTATAACTATCAATTGTAATGCAGATCTATTTTTCAAAATCATTATCTATGAGATTTGAACTTTAGACCTGCTATTTGAAGAGAGTAACAACTAGACTATTACACTAAGTTGCTATATAATCAAAAAAAAGTAAAAAATTTATTAAAAGTAAAAGTATATACTAGTTTAAGTAATTTTTATAAAGATTAACTATCTTACTCTTGAGAATTTCTTTATATATTTGATATATAAACTAAAAGTATTATAATACAAAATAACTATAAGTATTGCTCTTGTATAAAAAATTTTGATATATATTAGTATTTTTTGTTAACAAAACTTACTAGACAAAATAGAAAACATAGAGAAACAATAAATAAACTTTTATATTTCAATACACTTTTTACTAATTATATAAATAGTTTTCTTACTTTTTGTTATTTATTACTTTCTCTTATTATTTTTAATATTCTTAAAAAGTTTTTTAACAAAAGTGCAGATTTGAGTTACTTTTTTCAAAAGATTAATATTGTTTACTTTTTCAAATTTAAACAACTTAGTAAATAATAATCATAGGTTTTGTTTATTAATAGATATTATACTATTTTAAGGAACAGATTTTTGGATAAAGTATCTAAAATTGACCATATAGCCAAAAAAGAAAATAATATATTAAAGCAAAGCTTTATAGTAGAGATATATAATAAAGTACAATTAATATATAATTTTTATTAGTTTAGTATGGGTTATAATAGTATATATATATTTTTTGTATTTCTTTTTTTTTTATTTGTTTTTTGTCAAATTTATATTTAATAGCTATTTCTTTATAAAGATAACATTCATTTTTGTTAGCTTTAAGAGCTTATCTCTTTGTTTTTTTTTTTTTTATTTATTGTTTCTCTTTTATTTTTTTAAAAAAATTTTCATTTCATTTCTATTTATTTTATTTTTCTTTTTTTATGTTCCTGTATTATTGATACAGGAGTATCACTTTTTTTTGCTTTTAGTAAAGAAAAAAGAATTGAAAAAATTAATTCTAGACAGGCTAACAAAATCTTCTAACATATATGTAAGTCTTGTTTTATATAGCCAGGTGATGTTGGGCTTGTAATTTTAGAATGCTTTTTGATTTTTTTACCAGCCCTGATAATTAAATAAAGTATTGTATTTGAGCTCTAACAAGACTGTTAAAGAGCAAAAAAAAAAAATATTTAAGTTTAAAATTTAAAAACAAATCAATATATGTTAAAAAGGATCTTTAGCTTAAAGTTTATCACTTAAACCAATTTGCAGACAAATTTTTCTGCAAATTTTTGATCAAAATTGTTTTTGTTAGAAGAGCTTGTATAAATCACAACATAAGCTTAAGTAATATTATAACTGGGAAAACTACTAGTATAGGGCTTTTAACCAATTTCACTTTTTAACTATTTTTAATGGCACCTTACTATTATTTTTCTTTTATAAAGGTGAAATAACCCTGTAAAAGTCTACTCACAAGATGAAATTTCTAACTGATAATCGAAAATGAAATTTCGATATATCGATAATTTAATTATATCATATAAACACATGACTTTAACGAGGTTGAGGTAAATACGTGCGATTATTGGACTAATTTTGCAGGCAAATTTGCCTGCAAAAGTTTACGGTTTAAGGGATAATAAATTTATACGTTTTATTATAATTTATCATTCGGTGTCCTGACTGTTAAGATTAATAAAAATACAACAGATATTACAATCAGATCTCTCTAAATGCAACCCCCTAAATGCAATACAAATGCAACCTTTAACTCTCGCCCAAATATATGTTAGACCTCCATAAATGCAAATTTTCTTATAATTCTCTAAATGAAGCCGTCAAAAGTCTGGTCCCTTCAAGTATACAAATTAAAAGGGCTTTAAAAAACACAGTATAATTTATGATCAATGACCGCCGTAATATATCGTAATATAATACCAATATAGCTCGATAATTCTGTTATACATCACATTGATACAGCGATAATTTTGTTGATTATTCAGAAAATGCCGCTTCGCGGCATTCTCTGATCAAAAAAATTAGCACAGTACCAACGTGATGTTGTCTTATATTATCATTTATATTATATAAATATAGTCCCGACAAAGTTAGTTTATAATGCTGCCCGACTTTGTAGGAATTTTTCGAGAAAATGGCTTTTAGAAATCGTAACACTAGATAAATGCCCAATTGTAACATATCATTTTGTAGCTACGTAGATACATGACTCGAAAAATAGAATGATGTATATAATAAGTACGTACGTAAAATTTATTATAATCCTACACAGTCTACACGGTGGCTCGATTAATCGAAATAAAAAACGAAAATGCCCGAAGAAATTAATAATAAACACTTATATCATATCTAAATAAAAACATAATGTAATAAAAGGAAATTTCTTATAGATACAAAGAGAACTTGATCATAGCATAAAAACACTTAGAACTCAGGAGAATAAAATACATAAATAAATCTCTAAAAAAAACAAATATATTGTTCTAAAAAAGAATGTCTAAAATTCGTATAAAAATCAACATATTCTTGTGCCTATTCGGTTTTGGAAGTAGTTCGCTCCTTTTTATCCGATCTAGTAGCAATTTTTACGCCTTGGCTACTGAAAGCCCGAGATAAAGAGGTTGTTTCTGATCGGATTAAAGAATATGATATTATAGTTATTAAAAAATGCCTTTAAACCTCAAAATTTTTTTTAAAATTTGACTACTACTTATTAATTTAGCGTTCATAATTGAATCCACAAATTTTATTGTAAAAATAAATCTTGTGAATACAATTTAATTGCTAAACAGAATAGTGGGGGGTTTTTTTTTGAAAAAATTATTGAGAATTAAAGGAAAGAACACAATATCAGATGATTTAAGAAAATGAATATACCGATCATTCCGGGAAATTTTTTTGCAGAATAAGCGACAAAAGGGCTTGATTCAACAGATGCTAGGACGCTCATTGGATGAAGACCTGTATTTACCATACCTTGGCTTTTATAAGAATGATTGTGATCAGATTACGTCATAAAATTATAAATTTGATTTTTATTTTGCGCGCACATTTATTCTTAAACCAAATCCGAATAATAGGCTACATTCTGCATAAGTCACGGAAAAACATCGGAAAAAATGAAATTCTCCGTAAACATTATTAAATGCGCGTGGTTCATACATAAACAAAAATATTATACATATAAAACTTTCTTACAATCCAATATACATGAGATTAAACTCAAAATAAAAATCTCCATCGGTGCGAATGCTGAGATCCTGGTATACAAAAAAAATTCCTGTTCTTCCTTCATGATCTTTCAGCTTTCTTCCGTTGGCAATTAGATTTCCAAGTAAGTTTCTAGTATTTGTTTGGCTTTTAAAGCCAAGTTGTGATATCGGGTGGATGACTAAAGAAGCTTCTTCTCGTGTTCCACATTTATAAGGAGTTGCATGTAGAACAAAGAAATTACATTCAATGTCACTAGAAAGTTAAAATGCAGTAAAAAATATAATTAAAATGATATAGCTTAATCAAGGGTTGTTACATATTCAAAGTGACATACTCTATATCCACCGGTTTTCCGGTTTCATCACTAACTAATAATTGAACGATTGGTAAAGGTGACAATGAGCGCCTATCCTATAAACACGGAAAAAGTAAGATTTTCGCATCTAGAAATTAATAATGTGCTCTTTGTCTTTAAATTCAAATTTAAAAGATCATTACTCTGTTACATTAAATCAAAACCAAAGATTTTATTTTTTTTTAAAAAAAAATAAGAATGAATTTGTGGATTCAATTTAAATTTTAACAGAATACAAATCTTTTAAAAATTGTAAACTAAAGGTAACATATCATTTACCTTTTCACCAAATCCACACATACGGGCTCGCTCTGATGTTTGTACTATATTTAAACTGTATTTCCAGTTTGGAACACTACATAAATAACAAGATACAAATGTATATTATATATTTAGTTATACCTATAGGGAATAAAAATAAAAAAAAAGTAAAGATTCACCCCGTTTTAGTTGGTGCAAGTGTGGATTGTATCATTTCTTTTGTTGCAAATTGCATTTCTTGACGCATATAATTTTGTGCCCTTGGTCGCTGGAAAGATTGTGTGGAAGGGCCAAGTTCAAAATTCGTATTATTTTGATCCATTCGATACGTGTGTTTAGGGTAATTAGGTGCGTGTGAATAGTTTTCCATAAAACGATGTAAAGTCGAAAAAATGATTGTACGAAAAAGTTAAGTACCCGGTGTACTCTGGAAAACTAATATAAAATATAAGCTTTATTTTACAAAAGAAAGAAAACGAGAGAATCTCAACACGACCTCTCCAGATATGTCTTACCAATTATCAGAAGGAATTATCAGAAGGATCAAAATACCAATATAATAATTGAGGGCTTAAACATTAGCTTTCGGTTTATATATAAATGTATAAATATATAAATATATAAATATATATATTATATATATAAATATATAAATATATATATTATATATATAAAATGGTTAGGCTTATTTATAACGCGGCGTTAGTAAATTGTGAATTTTTTTTTTTTTTATATTTCGGAAATTATAATTTACTTTTAAACAAATATAAATAAATTTTCATTTATTGTAAGGTTGTATGCATCAGAATTGTGGAATGGTATGGTGAAATGAATCAATGAAAATTTATCCATTATGGACAGAAGAAGTAAATGATAAGACACGCGCCTTCTTGCATGGATATTGCAAATAATCCAATATTTTGTCATATGAGTGTTCTATTTTAACATCAGTTTAGGTTTATCCGATAGTTTGGAAATTGAGTAATCCGGAAATTGAGATAGTTTGGAAATTGGAATGATTCAGAAATTGGGGTAGTTTGTAAATTGGAATAGTTTCTCTATTTTGGAAACCTATCATATATGTATAGATTAGCTTTAATGTTTACCTAATTTAAAGGTACTCGGCTATAGTCAAAGTGTGGTATCTTTATCTATTATACAATAAAAAATCCTATCCATCCGCCTGTAGATTTTCACATGCTACTATAGTTTTCAACTGCATTACAAACGAAGTGATAATAATTTATAGTTGCATTCTTTGTAATACGGAAACTAAGTTTATAACATACACTGTAATAATATGTCACATAATTATTATTCGAATCGGAGTATTGTAAAACGTTCACCTTTTTTATCGTCGTCAATAAAAGATACGTTCGTATGTACATAGAAACATCATCTAATATTTTCCTTTATACCGTCTCGCCCTACCACCATAGCATAGCTTCAAATATAATGTGATATATATAATCTGATAAATTCAATCACAGATCGAAACAGTTTAACCGAAGAGCATAGTAAAACAAATAACATTATTTATTTGTATAACAAGAAATTGTGAAATTGTATCTTGAAAAAGGGTTCAATGTTCAATGTTTTGTCACGTGAGAGTATTACTTGAAAAACGTGAATATTACGGTTCAAAAGGAAAACAAAGAAATATCTGAAACTTGATGTCAAAAAAATTTCTGCGAATAGACCTCAATATTCAGAATTGTGAATAATATTCAAATTGATAAAAGAGAGAAAACGAAAAATTCAAGAAACTGAAGTCAAATCTATTTGGACACTAATAAAAATTTCGGTAACGTAATTCTGCATATATCAGATATGTCAGCCTTATCCCTAAACTAAACTTTATACATATTAGTTACAAGGTTTCGACTTCTATTCGAATTTTCCAGACACCCTTAGGTTACTAGTCTTCCACTTACTCCTCGGACAATATTCTATAATACTAAACAAACATATAGGCTATAATATGCATATTCCAATGTATTCCGCCAAAAAAATATTCTAAAGTGTAAAACAATGATTTTTTTAAAAAATTTATGCAGCCATGTATATATTCAACCAATAAGATCACGCATACACACGGTTATGAAGCTGTATCTATGCATAATAAACATTAATAAACAAACCCTGAGGAACCCTCTTGCTTTGTTTAGTGTGGCGTCTTCCTGAATATTTTATACGTTACGAATATAAAATAAAATTTTAAATTATGCACTCCTAAACCAATCTAGAATAAAATCAATTGTAATTGCATAGCAACAATCACAAATTAATTTAGTTTGGGGTTGCATAATCTAATATACTGTATTTGTAATGCATAAATATTAAGGAAGAAGCTCTTTAAATGCAAACTATCAGGTCATCATCAATACATCTTCGATGCACCAAATAAGGTAGGATAGTTGAAAATTTTTTGCTGAAGATAATAAACTCAATGAAAAAAAAAACAGCGCTTTTACGCGGCAACTATCGGTTACTACAATAAAACCGTGGGATTTGGCTAAAAAGTGTAACCAAGAAAGAATCAGGTTATTCATTCCTTAATAGACATTGTTTAGTTACGCTGGTTGTTACAGAGTCTTTAAACGATCAATAATCATGCGGCTAGCTGATGAAGCATAAAAGGCGCATGCATCTTAAAAAACCACAAGTATGTAAAGTACCAATCATCACGAACGTTCTAGTCGCGTCTTAGTAATATGCACTATAGGCGGTATTCGGAAACCATAAAATATTTATTTAGTCAGAGCTACTAACCCACAATGGTGTTTATTAAATATTTTAGTTTATCATATAAACGGATAATCTCATAAAAGTCGTGGCGGACGCATTCCGTTATCAGAATGAACAATTGTAGTAGCAATTAAGCGTGTGACGAGAGGCTAATCAAACAAAGAATTATAAACCAAATGGTTTTTTTGTGGTAGATCAAAGGTGCCCGTTCATGACCCACGCATATTACTCTAAATTTTTTAAATTTTTTTTTCGGAAAATTTTTTATTCCGTACCTTTTATATTAAAGTGCTTTATCAGAATATATCTTGGATCAAAGATGCACATCATGTATCTCAACGCGTAATTAAAAATCCTAGTTTTGATTACGGAAAGTCCGATAACATATTTTGTGGCTCTGTTATCTTACTTTTAATAGTAGCAGCAAGTTTTAAGGTTTTATGACCTGCTATGATCAAAAATTTTTTCGAAACGTAAAATTTTTGATTTTCTAAATGACTAACCCCTAAAAGAAAGTAGTGCAAATGTACCTTAGAAAGTAATGCGAATGACCTCAGTAAGTAGTGCAAATGACTTAATCTGGAAACAATAAGTAATAATTATAAAGGAAACGGTGCACCCGATGTAGCACACACTTATTTAGAGCAATTGATCTTCATCTCGACGTTTTTTTTTTTTTGCGAACCTAAATCAAAATTTATATTCGATAAAATTGTCAAATATAAATATCCACATTCAACGAAGAATATCTGGTTTAAGTTCGTGTCATCTCTGGTGCCCATGAATATTCTTAATCCACAATAAAATTTCAATCATTCTATTGCATCATTATTACATACGGTTGGATGTGGTATTTTGAATATTATATACTGTACGTCTAAGTTTCCAACCGGGTATATAGTTAGTAATGATTGTTATTATGTTATCATTCATGTTGAATTAGAAATAAGTTTCTCAACGTATTCGTTTATTTTGCAGCGGCTACATCATAAATCTTATTTTAATTACCATTTATAGGATAAATTAAATATTTAAATATTTAATCTTTACAAATGTTTAGCTAGGGTATTACTAATTAGAATAAATGACCAGCCCAGAGTCGCTATAATTTTTACTAGGTGTCTATACTAGCACAAGAAGCACACAATTTCTATTTGGCGCATTTATTGTCCCAACGGAGGTCATTTGAAATAACTCCGAGCCAACCAGATTCTAATATTCAAACTTCGACATAATACTAAATAAAATACCAAAATCGAAAGCGGTTTGTTTGTTTTTTTTCTTTTTGAAAAATTGTCATCTCACTTATTTTTGACCCTTAATTTCATTATTTTCTACCCCTCTTTATTATCCGAGTACGCACATACCTTTCAACTACCGAAAAATCTATGTGTATGCTAAGGTCACGTGATTGCGCCGAATTGTGTCGAGTAAGTTTGTGATCTGTTTATTAATTACATAATGCAAACCCAAACCCAGGGAGATGTTTCCGGGATATATCAAATAAAGGGCTCTCTATTATCACACAAAAATTAATATTCTTATGCATGACAACCACGGGTTATCAACCCCAAGGGACACCGCCAAAAATTTTTCAGTTATGTGGCTTTTGTACTACATAAAAACTTTTATCATCGCTTATATAGACTTATTATTACATAAATACCGATACAGTATATAGATAAAGTTTTTTTTTAGTTCGTGTTTGTTGTATTTGTAAATAAGAAATAAAATTTATAAATATAAATATTTTGTGCTATTAGTAAAAACTTTAATACAACATCTCAGTTTTATTTGCTTTAAAAAAGATAATTTATATTATACATAATTACTGTTTATAATTTTTTTTAAATATTAATATTAGAAGCTTTATTAAAATATAAAATAACTTGTTATCGTTATAATATTTAAGTATTGTGATACAGAGTTAAAAAATCTGTTAAAGAATTCTAAAGCACTCATACCATTAAAATTTTAAATATATATCCAGTATAACATTATATCTTTATTTTTTATTTATTATTATTATTATTATTGTATAAAAAGCTAATCTAATTATATAATAGTACATATTATACTAATACTAGGTATCAGGAGCTGATAGATGTCCGAAGCAACAATCTGATTGGGCATCACGTGTTTTGTTGTTATGCAGAAATATGCAGTGTAACCTAATATAAAAATTGATTGGGTGCTGTCAACGGACATTGCATGGTTTGGAGTAGATATAAAAGTCCTCGCTACGCTTCGGACAATAAATACAGAATTAGCTAGTATTATTTTTTATAACTACACAATTATGCAATATAATATTTTTATATTCTCTATTTTAACCAAAACAAATTATTATTAGTTTAGATAAAAAAGGAAAAAAACTTTTTATAAATAATAAAGATAAAATAAAGTAAAAAATAGTTTAATATAGAAAATAAAAGTATATAATATTAAGAGTATTAGTTTATAGCAACCTGTCGCCATGGCGACCCCATGATCAACTAGTTAAAATCAATCACGTATATTTTTATTTTTTATTCCGAAGTCTGATCCAAAAAGCTGATCTAATAGTGATCAACCAATCAAATTCAATAATATAAAAAATAATAAAATTTCTAAATTTAGAGTTTTATATGAAAAATAAAAAATTAATACAAATTTATTAAAAAAATGATTTAATCATTTATCGTATATGTGATTTATCACCACCCATAGTTGTGTAACCTGATCATCATAAATATGATCAGATTTTTTTTTATTTCTAGCTTTCTCTTTTTTGTCATCGTTATTTTTTTTTTTATTAGAATTACTAATATTCGCTTTGACTTTTTTTGTAGCTTTTTACAGCTTTGCGTCATTTTTGGGTCGCTTTTTGGAGTCGTCGCTTTTTGAATCGTCATTTCCGAAATCATTTTTTGGAGTCGTTGCTTTTTGGAACCGTCATTTTTGGAATTGTTCTTTTGGAGTTACCAGACTGTTTTTTTTACTTTAGTTCTTACTAACTTTGCTTCATTTTTTAGCTTTTGTCAATTTCACGTCGTTTAGAGGAGTCGTCACTTTCGGTGTCGCCCTTTTGAAGCCTTGTCATGAATTTTGGTGTACTGTCATTTTTGGTGTTTTTTTCAGAGACATTTTCATTTTTTGTGTTTCTTACAGAGACATCATCATTTTTGTTATTACACGCTCTTTTTTTTTTGTTGTTGTTTCTTACTAACTTTTGCTTCAATCTTTTTAGCTTTTGTCTATTTTGTCGTTGCTTTGGAGTCAACGTTTTGGAATCTCGACGTGAATTTTGGTGCATCATCGTTTTAGTACTCTTTTAGAGATGCTGTTGTCACTTTCAGAGTTGCATACTTTTTTTTCGTTGCATACTAACTTTTGCTTTGGTTTTTGTAGCCTTTATTCATCTTGTCGTCACTCTTTTGAAGTCGTTGTTGTTCTTGGTGCTTTATTTTAGAGGCTGTGGTATTTGGCAGAGTTGGTAAATAACCTGAAATAACCCAAATGACCCAAATGACAAATGACTAGTAATTGGTCATTTCAAAACCTAAATGACTTTAGAAGGTCATTTAACATATGTTAGTTAATATTCTAATATTTTTTAACTAATTAGAATTGGCCGCCAAACAAAATTAAATTTTATAAAAATATTATATAAGCAATTCAACTAATAAAATTATTTTATATGCAAATAACCCAAATGACCAGATGACCTAAATGATCTGGTCATTATTTAATGACTTGAGGTCATTTAAATTTTGATCAAATGACCAGGTCATTTACCAACCTTGGTATTTGGGCCTTCATCTTGGTTACGCTTTTTTATTCGTCTTTCATAGTGTATTATTTTATTTTCATTGTCTATTTTAGACTGTTGCATTTGGTTTTTTAGATTTTTAGAGTTAGAGCAAACAGCCTGAATTTGTTGAGCTGCGTTTTAGATAGAGTTAGGGTAAACAGCCTGAATTTGTTGAGCTTCGTTTTAGATAGGGTTAGGGTGAGTTTTCTGAATAAGTTGAGTTGCGTTTTAGATAAGGTTAGGGTTTAGGTGTTTTTATTTTAATTGTTGAGCTGTGTTTTAGACAGGGTTAGGGTGAACAGCCTGAATTTGTTGAGCTTCATTTTAGATAGAGTTATGTGAGTTGCCTGAATATATTGAGCTACATTTTAGTTAATGTTAGGGTTTGAGTGTTTTTATTTTAATAAACGTTTATTATTAGTCATATATCCGATAATAACTTTATAATATGTATCGTATTTGATTAATAATATATTAATATATATTTGAATTGCGTGATCACGTGATATGAACTGATTGGTTGATCATCCTGGTGATATATCACTATGGTGGTAAATTACAAAAGCCTAAAAAAAAACTAATAAAAAACTACTAAAAAAACTACTTTCAAACCTAACACCAAACCCAGCAAAAAAAAAACCAACAGACTATAAGTACCTTTGGCATTTTGGTAGAAAATTGTATTGTGAACCAAAAGAAGTACCACAAGACAATTTATTAACAAAACATCGAAAGCCCAGAAAGAATACTGCAAGACAATTTACCAATAAAATGCTGAAAGACCAGAAGAAGTACCAAAGACAATTTATTAACAAAACACTGAAAAGCAAAAGAAATACTACAAGACAATTTACTTAGAGGTTGAAATTAGTCAAATTTTTTGTGATCGGTCATTGATCGAATATGCACAAGATAAATCGATTTATGATCGATTATGTGTTTTGATTGGTCAAAATTAGTTAATTGGTCAAAATTGGTTGATCAGTCAAAATCATTTGATCGATCATGATTAATCATGTATTTTGATTGGTCAATAGTTAAATCGGTCATAATTTATAACAGTAAGTGATTAAAGTAGAATTAGTTAGTATTAGAATTATTGTAATTTCAACTATCGGTTAAGAGAGCAATTATAGATATTAATCCAATTTAGCTCTGATGGTTCATTTAAGTTAGATTTATACCACTTGTACATATAAAATGATGTTACTAAATAACTTTAATTGTTAGATTAACTTTAATTGCCCATGATGTAATAATGTATCTAATTGATATATTAACATATAACTAGGAAAACAGGTGCTGTTAGTGTCTGAAGCTTTTAATTTTACGAGATTTTCCATTTTGTCGGGCTGATCCATGTCGATCTGTTATATTAGTTTAAATTCTGATTGGATATATATCACGTGAGCGGAACCCAAGACATTTTGTGTATTTACGTCTCCATTGTAAGTCCTTGCTATGCTTCGGACAATAATAATAATAATAATAAATACGATACAATATAAACACAACAATAATGTAGCAATACGATAAAACTATAGCTTATTGAGATATCAAAGTTTAAATTAAATTCATTATAAATTACTATGCTATATTTACTTAACTCATAACACTGCTGCTCATGACTACAACAATTTCCATAGTCTTGGTTAATAGCGATTATTGCAATTTCACAACCAAGAGCCAACAATAACTAGTTTATCTAACAATCCATAATCAACAATAATCTGGTTGTTTAACAATATATCATATAATTCTATTGTATGATGGAAATAAACACCAGAATTAATTTATATCTTTAAGCCTTTATTTACTACCTAGAAGCCTCACAATATCCTTATAGCTTGGTTATAATATAGCCCTGTTATGGGTTAAAATTTTAAACTATGACACTAACACTACTTACTTCTGTAAAAAATCTATCACTAAACTTGTTACTATTCTGGCAACAATAACATTAGTTAAGATTGAGTTGGTTTGTATTAAAAACTTCATAATTTTTATAATGAGATACTGTAAAAAAGAGGTGTGGCGACTTAGTGAAGTGGTCTAGTTGTCACCCTCACCAAATGTTATAGGAAGATCCCATGTTCAAATCCCAGGGATGGCGCTTTTGTAATATGGGAAAAGTCTGTGACGATCTTCACTAAAGTTGGCCCATAGAGAATCTGTCGAGACAGTGTCTGGTGACATCGTTGAGGTGATTCCAGAAGGCTGTAATCTGAGGGCTGTGCATAGCACGGGTCACAGAACTAGAGATCGAAGCCCGTTTGGGAAGTTCCGAGTTGGGAGGTAGCAGTGATCTTTGACGGTACTACATGAAAGCTGAATTTGAACCGGGGCCCGAGATTGGTGAACCGAGCGATCAGGTCCTTTAGTAGAGAGACACACTAGCCGAACCGCCGGTTTAGACGCACTGGAGGAAAAGGCCATATGCTCTGAAAGTATAGACCAAGGGGAGGGCATCCTTCAGGCACCTAAAGCCTGGGCAGACCAACCCATCTGGGTTGCCAGCTAGAAGTAAGGGAGGGACCGATAGAGAATCCGGGTAAAAAGACGGTTAGAATATGGGTACCGGGGTTGTTGTGAACCTTACAAGGGCAGGAGTACATAATTGGCGACTAATTAGGAAGGTTGTGCTTGAGATACGGATCGGGTTACGGCAGCACCCCAAAAGTTGGCTTGAGA